GAGAGAGAGAGAGAGAGAGAGAGAGAGAGAGAGAGAGAGAGAGAGAGGAAGAAAGAAAGAAAGAAGTAAAGAAAGAAAGAAAGAATGAAAGAAAGAAAGGACTAGTGATCTAACTAGACTAGACTCTACACAGCTCTCTCTGGGCTTTTCCCTCTGTCTCTCTGGTCATATTACCCTCTTGAAAGCAGACATCAAGACTGATATTTGCAGACTAGAGTTACTCGTAAGCCTCAAGACCTCTGCTTCTTCCCCACCTTAACAGGTTCTACACACTCAGATACTGAATAGAGGGAATGGTCCCTCCTTTCTAGTTCCCAGTGGTAGGATACTATCAGCTCCCTAGAAATAAAAAGTTTATCTGTCTGGCCAAGTGTGCTTTCTTTCCCAATACAGAGTCTCCCTGCAAATCACAGCTCCTTGTGCAAGATCCTGCGCCCTGGAAGTCCCAGAAAGGCACAGGGCAAGGCAATCTGGTGACTTTTTAAAAAAATTTTTTAATGGTTTATTTAACTTTATTTTATGTGCATTGGTGTGAAGATGTCAAATCCCCTGCAACTGGATCTTTAGACAGTTATGAGCTGCCATGTGGGTGCTGGGAATGGAACCCAGGTCCTCTGGAAGAGCAGTCAGTACTTTTAGTCACTGAGCCATCTCTCCAGCCCCTGCTTGGTGACTTTTTTAAGGTTAGTAAATCACCAGTAGGATATTGCCTAGGGTTTTATCTGAGACCCGACTTTGGTTTGTTACCAAGTGGATTTTCCTATCTGCATATCTGTTGCTCAAAAATGGAAGCGATTTCCACAATCCCCGGCTTCAGTCCTTCCGCTCCAGAACAAGGCGGCATTGTGCAAGCGAAGCTGCTCCTAGTTTTGAATTCGTCTTGTCCTAGATTTACCTGTGGGAGTGGGCAGTGCAAAGAAGGGATGGCTTGTTAAAAATTTTACAACTCAATAGCAAAGCCGACATTCAAATCTATAACTGATTTCTGGGTCATTGCTCTCCCGGCACCAGATTAGATATGGTGTGTGCAGGCGGTCCTATCAGGATACCTAGGCCTCCAGCTGACCAGAACTTTCTGTTGCTAATTCTAGGGAGTGTCACCTCCTTCCTGTTAAGGCCAGTTGTGACTTAGAGAAAAACATGTCCTTCAGTTGAATAAGAAGGTATAGTAACAGTTTGGGGTGAAAACTCAAATAAATGAAATTTTAGAAAAGATTTTCGACTTCAGGTCTTAGGTATCATTGGAGGGAGAATCATATAATAAAATTTAGTAATTAAAAAAATTATCCAGATGTGGCAGCACATGCTCTTAATCTCAGGACTCAGGAGGCAGAGGCAGGGGATCTTTGAGTTTAAGGCCTGACTGGTCTACATAGTGAATTCCAACCCAACTGGAAACTCTACATAGTGAGACCCTGTCTCAAAATAACTAACTCAATAAATAAAAACAACAACAGTAATAAATTATAATTAAAGATCTCAGATGATGGCCAGGTGTGGTGTATGCCCTAGGAGACTGTCAGGAATCCTATTGGCTGTTCAAGGGACTTCTGAATTGGTTTACATGTTGGCTCCTCTTTTGCATAACCTGTCACCCTCCCTTCCCTGAACCCTTCATTCTTATCTTGGCCTTGGTGGAGAGGTGGCATCCTCTTCTCTTGCAAGTCCCCTTGGAGTGGACCTCAGGTCAGAGTCTTCAAATGTTGGGAATGGATTAGTAGTGGGATCCTCCTCAGATAACACATCTCTGGCAGTCCCCCAGCGATTGCCTGGGAAATGTCAGAAAAGGGAAAGCCTGAACTAGGTCAGGCTTGCTTCCCAGGGATCCATTAAACATTTTCAAGTCCAGGATTTATGCCCATTGCTGAGTTGTTCTTGTGGTCTACACTCAAATATATCAGTCTGTGGCCTTCTATCTTCCGAACCTGGGTAATGCTGGTCTCTGGTTTAGGCAAAGAGTAGTTGGCACTTGGTAAGACTAAACAGGAGGCTTCATAGTCAATGTCCTGTTCCTGGATTTAAGATCAGGTCTATTAAGCTCCAGATTCAATTCTTCTGGAAAATGCTATCTGTCTGGGGGACTTCTTTCTGGGCAGTAAACATACTACTAATTCTATTTTGGTGTGATTGCTACTGCCTGGCTGCTATCCTTTCTCATCCTAGACCACGAGGGGCAAGATTAGGGGGCCAAGCCGTCATCACCACAGAAAAACACCCTTTTTGTTTGGTCCGCTCTTGCTTCAAACCCACCCTAGGCACACACACCAGATCCCTTCCCGTCTCTTCAAAGACATGATTGAAACGCCTATGTGAATTTTCATCTACAGTCTCGCCATTGTATCAAGTGTGCACTAAAGCTCAACGTTTGCCTAGGGGAATCAAGGCAGTGCTGTTAGGGCTCCTTCAGCATCTTGTTTATGTCCTTAGCTGGACCGCAGCCTACTGTTGTTTCAGCCATGATCATGACAGAAGCAGGCTTGCCCTTCTGATCCTGGTTTTGAATGTCTTGCTGGAGTACACTTCACACTGAGGATAAATGTCTAATCCTTTCCCCAGTCAGCGAGACAAACGTGCATGCCAAATGTACCTGCTTATCCCCGCTGGTGATCTGAGCCAGGCCACCTTCTCAGCGCTTCTTTGGCCTAAATGCACCAGAACATTCTCCTCGGGCGTGTGGACTTGAATCGTTACAGGTTCCAGGAAGGCGTCATTACAGGCAGCCAGAGTCAAGGGCGGCAGTGCTGCCTTGGACCGCAGGAGACAGATTCCTGCTGAAGACCTGGGAAGCCAGTTTTCTGGCCAGAGCCTCGAGCAGAGCGGAAGGACAACTTTGGGTTAGACAGAAAGATAGTAGGACTCTCCAAGCTTAGGCCACCTCAAAGCTGGTGTCTTTGAACCCCCACCCCTCTTGTTTTCTTTCTCCTTTACCAGTCTGCATGCCCTGCTGTCTCTTTTGTCTTTCTGCCCTTCCTATGGCCACCCTAGCCACGTCTCTAACCAGAAGACCTCCTCCAATTAGTTTCGGTGTATTTTTTTAAACATTGAAACAGGGTTTCTTGCAGCTTAGGCTGGTTCTGAACTCATTACATAGTTGAGGATGACCTTGAACTTTTGCTCCTCTGGCCTCTGTGCTCCAAGGGCTGGTATGTCCATGGAGTCACATGTAGATATTACGAACTTGAAATGTGGTAGGTCTGAATTAAAATGTGTTATAAAAAGAAAGTAGATATCAGATTTTAGAGTCATAAAAAGAGAGGAGAGGGTGCCTGAACTGGCCTTGTCCCATAGTCACACTGATGAACATCTCGAATATCACCATAGAACCTTTGTCTGGGGATGGATGGAGATAGAGACAGAGACCCACATTGGAGCACTGGATTGAGCTCCCAAGGTCCCGTTGAAGAGCAGAAGGAGGGAGAAGATGAGTAAGGAAGTCAGGACCGCGAGGGGTTGGTCCACCCACTGAGACAGTGTGCCTGTTCTAATGGGAGCTCACCAAATCCAGCTGCTCTGGGACTGAACGAGCATGTGATCAAATGGGACTCTCAAAATGTGGCTGACAATGGGGGCTGACTGAGAAGCCATTGTTAATGGCACTGGGACTTGTTTCTACTTCATGTAGAACAAACATGCAAACTAGGGTGCATGGGACCCTAGTCTATTTGGATACACACCTTCCTAGGCCTGGATGGAGGCAGAAGGGCCTTGGACTTCCCACAGTGCAGAGTACTCTGCTCTCTCTTAAGACTGGAGGGGGAGGGAAGAGGGTGAGTGGGGGAGCGGGAGGGGAATGGGAAGAGGGGAAGAAGTGGAAATTTTTGAATAAAAAAATACACACACACACATCATCTTTGAAAGAGTTGTTTTGTCAGGCAGTAGTGGCACACACCTTTAATCCTAGTACTCGGGAGGCAGAGGCAGGCGGAATTCTCTGCGAGTTCGAGGCCAGGCCAGTCCACAAGAGCTAGTTCCAGGACAGGCTCCAAAGCTACAGAGAACCTTGTCTCAAAAAAGAAACACCCTGTCTCGAAAAACCAAAAAAAAAAAAAAAAAAAAAAAAAAAAAAAAAAAAAAGTTTTAAGTGGGTGTCTTAGAAATTTAAAGTCCCAGGCATTTGTGCTGGACAGGGCTGCTCAGGATCTGAAGACACTCGCCATGTGCATTCATGCTTGTTTACAGGTTTGTTTACAGAACCAATATTCTAGTCCTTTCTGTTTTCCCTTTGCAATATGCCAGAGGTTAAGTGGCTTTTAGAATTTTTCAACTGTTCGTTCCTGGTTCCATCTGTTTTGAATCAGAAAAAAAACAAAGCAAAACTCGATACCACCACCTCCACCGCCAACATCAACAAAAGAAATCCCCCAAGACTTCAAGGCCTTCTTCGGCAAGCTAGGGAGGCACGAGAGGAGGGCTGGGAGCAGTGTGGTGACCTGGAGAGGCGCAGGAGAGCCAGCTATTTCTTAGTAGGCAAAGAGATCTGTCCTTAGGGCTAGGAGGTGACCTAAGTCACATTCCCAGAATGGTCCTGCCAGACACTTTAAGAAAACAAGATAAGAGAATGCGAGCTAGGATCTGGTCCAGGCCAGTCTCGGTGTGGCACTCACATTTTACCACGTTTTACCTGAGCCGGCTTCCTGAAGGGTACAGGCTCCTCAACCTCCAGCCCCCTGACAAACTGCTTTCTGCTCAGGGACAAGGGGAATAACTTAGGAGCTGGGAAAGACCCTAATGATCTGTCTTTCCCAGTTTTCTTAAAGGATTAAAATACCAAACTAGGAGGGAGAAAGAGATTATTAACAAACTGCTTAGCTGGTTTCATTGAATTCTTCCTGGGGATCATGGGTCACAGTTTCATACAATAAAATTTACTGAGAGTTTTATAAACCCAAGGCCCCACCTTCAAATTCCCGGGCTAGGGCAGTGGGATGGGGGAGGTGATGAGTTAAGGCTTGGAACTGACTTGGTTAGGGAGTACAAGAGCCCAGAGTCAGGGTGGAGCTGCCACAGTGCTCCGTGCGGTTGCAGATCCTTCTACTTTCAGGTTGCCTTCTCTCCACCCCATCATCCCTGCATTCCAGAGTCGTGGGCCAGGCCTTTGTCAGCGCCAGTAATCGACTCCAGTGTTGAGCCAGGTGTGTCGAATCGCCAGCTTCTTGAAACTCACATTCTAGTGGAAGTGCAAAGAGTGAATGTTTGCACATTTTAGTGTTATGGTAAAAATAAAACGCTGCAGGTTCCCGAGTGACTGCAGTGAGCAGCGGGCACAAGACCATGGTGGGCCACAAAGGCAGTTGGTTCCAGGCAGGAAGCCATGTGGCGGGTGAGAGACCTGTGTGTGTGGCGGGCAGCCAGTCCCACAAGGAGCTGCAGATGGGGTGTGTGAAAGGCAGAGACCTATTAGGCACGCCATGTAGAGAAAGTGGGTTATGGAGGGGAAAGAGAAAGAGGGGAAGGGGGAAAAGGGAGAGGAGGAGGAGGAGGAGGAAGAGAGAGAGAGAGAGAGAGAGAGAGAGAGAGAGAGAGAGAGAGAGA